TTTCAAACAGCCTGAATGGGTGTGGCCAGCTCTCACAGATCCATATCTGTGGGTTTTGGTTTAATTAGTAGCATCAGAAGCTATTGGCGTCTCAACAGAATTGGAAGCCTCAGTGAAAGTCTTCTGGCTGTTACTGTCTCTGAATTTTCTCTTGATTTTCCCTCCTGGATGGGAGAACTGCAGGGGTCTGAATTTTCCTTTTTGCCAAGGGGTATTTTTATAGGCTGTTACATACTGGAACAGGTAATTAGTAATAGATACTGTATCAATTATTTTAAGTTTTCCAACAGCGTTGTTATTCTAAGTTCCTCTTTCTTTGCTTCTATTTTAACTACAGTGTTTAAATAAATTTGACCAGTCACATTGCATCTGGAACATCCACTTTATATTTGCCTTTAAATTAAGAAAAAGTTATGGTCTAGGTTACCTTCTTAAATTATTTTGCGGGGGTCTGGTCTGGTGCTGGTCCATAACACAAGGCAATGGACAGTTCAGTTAAGGGAGCCATGTTAACCAAACACTGTGCTTCCCATTTTGTTCCAGGGTATATTGTAATTCACCAGGTGGGGCCCCATTTCTTCTTTCAGTTAACAACACAATGCCCTTTTCAGTGTAACAGGGAGTATCACCCTGAATTAATCACTGAGTCTCAGAGTGGAGTTTCTGACTGTATCTTGACCTCTGCTTTTTGAGCTTCCTCATGGCCTACCATTTGAAGCACATGTCTTGCTGCTGCTGTAACTGGTTTGCGGCATATCTCATCGGTAGTTACTGCAGGTAACTAACGTCGATTGTCGTAAAAACCCATCTGGTTCACGAATAACCTTCAGGGATGAAAATCTCCTGCCTGTATGTGACTCCAGACCCACAGCAATGTGCTTGGACCCTTTATCTGTCTGTTGAAATGGTTCTAACAAACCACCCAGATCAAGGGGCAATTAGGGATTTGATACAGGATGTGAATAAATGTTAGCCCAGCCAGTGACATTCACATCCTGTGAATAAATTAAATAAAACTTCCTTTCGACCAGACCCAAGTTCAGGCAGCAGGTTCTACATCTGATAAGCTGAGTTGCTAATAAAATCCATGAAAGAATTCACTTAGATTCCTCTAGCACGTTTCACAACGATAAGCTGTCCCAAAGGGTTTTTACAGCTAATTAGGCCTTTGCCAAAGTATAGCTGCTGTTCCAATGTCAGATGCATGGCAGTCAATTTGTGCAGAATACAAACAGCAATGAGATAACAACCAGATCATCCGCTTTTTTAATGATGCTGTTTTCAGGAATAAATAGTAACCCAGACACCATGGGCTCATTATCATCTCCACTACACAAGATCTCCAGTTCATAATTGTATTCTACTCAATCTCCCTTTTAAAGGAACAGTCTAGGGTATGAAATACATCTCTTCTCAACACTGTTACCCTTTCCATTCTGAGAACTGCGATTTTGATAAGTATAACATGTTAACATTTCGCAACAGTATTATAACAAGGATAGTAAGAACTGCCGATGCTGGAGTCAGGGATAACACAGTGTGGAACCGGAGGAACACAACAGGCCAGGCAGCATCAGAGGAATAGGAAAGCTTACATTTTGGGTCGGGACCCTTCTTCAGAAATGGGGGAGAGGTAGGGGGCTCTGAAATAAATAGAGAGAAGGGGTGGGGCTGGGGAAGGTAGGTGGGGTGGTGATAGTGAGTGCAGATAGGTAATTGTGGGGTTTGGTCAGTGAGGTGGGAGGAGCGGATAGGTGGAAGAGAAGACGGACAGGTCACGGAGGCGGGAATGTGAGGGAGGGTTGGTCATAGGATGAGGTTGGGGGTGGGGAAATTTTGAAACTAGTAAATTCCACATTGAGACCATCGGGTTATAGGCTCCCAAGGCGGAATATGAGGTGTTGCTCCTCCAGTTTCCGGGTGGCATCATTGTGACACTGGAGGAGGCTCAGATTTTGCCAAAGGCAAAGTATAGGCAAAGTAGGAATGGTGGTAGTGAACTTCCTCAAACAAACCTTCCTCTGAAGCACATATTGGCAGCAGATATCATGGAGTGTCAGTCATGGCAGTCAGAATAATACCACATCTGCTTTTGCCATCTGCACTGGTATAGTTTCTTCATCCACTCATGGATAGTTTTCTGAATCTGTGAAATCTCACACCACGACTGTGACCAGAGGTACTGAACTGTCGGGATCTGACCTTTTATAATTGCCTATGCACTAATGGCTGGACACTGCAGGCAGGTCGGGAGTCACATGAGCAGAAATTTACGCTCTGTGGTGGAGCAGATACATCTCTGCTTGCCCGTCACTCCAGCAGAGAAGAAGTATTAGGTGGTATTTAAAGAAATAAAGATTCTTGTTGAGCTGACAGTTCCTAAGAAACTCAGTCAACGAATTGGTTGGTTAGGTAGAGGGCTTCAGTTGTTTGGATAGCTGGTTTGCCATGCAGAGTGATGCCAACAATTCCTAAACTGACTGAGGTTACCTCGAAGTATTCCCCACAGTCTCTCCCTCCAAGTTAAACCACCACGAGCTGTGTCTCTCAAATGAGAGAGAAGCCCTCTGGGCTTTACCTTTTACATCATGTTTGGTCAGTGTGCAATATTTGAGAGGTGTGACATTCACCTTGCACCAGAGCAGGAGATTTTGATGGGCAGCAGATGCCAGACACAAACAGCTGGAAGGACAAGGGTGGACTTCTTCAGAACAAAGAACACTACAGTACAGTAACAGGCTCTTTGGCCCACCAAGCCTGTGCCGACACATGATGTATTTCTAAACTAACAGCCTTTTGCCTCCACATGTTCCGTATCCTTCTATTCCCTGCCTGTTCATGTATTTGTGAAGATCCCTGTTAAATGTTGCGATTGCTTCTACTACCTCTTCTGGCAGTACATTCCAGGCACTTCCTACCATCTGAGTAAAAAAACCTGCCTCTTACATCTCCTTTAAACTTTCCCTTTTTTACCTTAAACCTATGTCCTCTAGTAATTGAGGTTTCTACTCTGGGAGAAAGACTCCGACTGTCCATTCTATCTATGACTCTCATAATTATGTAAACTTCTATCAGGTGGCCCTTCATCGTTCAACATTTAAGTGAAAACAAATACGTTTGTCCAATCTCTCCCAATAATTGATACTCTCTATACCAAGAATTATCTCAGTAGGCTGTTTCTGAACCCTCTTCAAAGCTTTTACATCCTTCTGGAAGTGTGGAGGCCAGAACTACACACAATATTCCAAGTGTGACCGAACTAAAGTTCTATGCAGCTGCAACGTGACTCAACAAATTTTTTACTCTGTGCACCAATCAATTGGGGGAAGTGTATAGAGATGGATAGGAAACTGGTTGGCAGAGAGCAAACAAAGAGTAGGAATTAACGGGTCCTTTTCAAATTGGCAGGCAGTAACTAGTGGGGTGCCACAGGGATGGGTCTGGGACCCCAGCTATTCACAATATATATTAATGATTTGGATAAGGGAACAAAACGTAACATCTCCAAGTTTGCAGATGATACCAAGGTGAGAGGGTGAACTGTAACGAGGATGCATGGTCTCAACAGGTTGGGTGAGTGGGCAAATCGATGGCAGATGCAGTATCATTTGGATAAATGTGAGGTTATTCACTTTGGAAGCAAAAACAAGGCAGCAGGTTACTACCTGAATGGTTGTAGATTGGGAGGGGGGAGTGTGCAGTGGGACCTGGGTGTCCTTGTGCACCAGTTGCTGAAGGTAAGAATGCAGGTGCAGCAGGCGGTAAAAAAGGCAAATGGTATGTTGGCCTTCATTGCGAGAGGTTTCGAGTACAGGAGCAGGGATGTGTTGTTGCATTATACAGGGCCTTGGTGAGGCCACACCTAGAATATTGTGTGCAGTTTTGGTCTCCTTTTCTGAGGAAGGATGCTCTTGCTCTCGAGGGAGTGCAGTGAAGGTTTACCAGGTTGATTCTGGGGATGGCGGGTCTGACGTATGAGGAGAGATTGACTAGGTTGGGATTGTTTTCACTAGAGTTCAGGCAAATGAGGGGGGATCTCATAGAGACTTACAAAATTCTAACAGGACTGGACAGGGTAGATGCAGGGAGGACGTTCCTGATGGTGGGTGTATCCAGAACCAGGGGTCACAATCTGAGGATTTGGGATAGACCATTTAGGACGGAGATGAGGAGACATTTCTTCACCCAAAGAGTGGTGAGCCTGTGGAATTCATTACCACAGGAAGTAGTTGATGCCAAAACATTGAACGTATTCAAGAGGTGACTAGATATCGCACTTGGGGCAAATGGGATTAAAGATTATGGGGAGAAAGCAGGATTAAGCTATTGGGTTGGACGATCAGCCATGATCATGTAGAATGGTGGAGCAGACCCAAAGGGCTGAATGGCCTCCTCTGCTCCTATCTTCTATGTTTCTATGAATGAGATGTGATTTCATTGAAACAAATAAAGAACCTGAGTTTACCTGACAGTGTGGATGCTTTCCCCCGTGGGAGTAGCTAGAACTAGGGGCACCATTTAAAGATGAGGGTGTCTGGATGCCATTTAAGATGGAAATGAGGAGATTTTCTTCTCTCAAAATGTCATTTATTTAGAATTTCTTCACTCGAGAGATATGATGTGTTTGTCTAGACACCAGGGAGGTGATTCTGGCAGTGTTACGAAGGCAGTGGGATCCCCTATGCTGTCTGATTAAATGTCCCCATTGCCAATGGAAAGCTCCTTCTTTGTACAAGTTTTCAATCACAAAACATCTCAGAGAAAAATCTTCTTGATGAATCAAGAAAAAAAAACTGGAAGGATAAATCGTTCCTCAAATCCCGCAGCTGTTTTCTTGATCCCAGGCCCCATCATTGCAGTTGTCCATCTGTAACCTATCTCATGACAAAAATATCAATGTACGTTCCCTACACACAGCTGAACATTCATAAACATGCAACGTTTTACAGTTGAGGGTTCCAACATTAAGAGAAAGGTAATTAAAACGGGAAAGAATTTACCTCACAGTCATGAAACTCCTCTTCCTCCACCTCATAGGACACAGTTTGAATTTTGACATCGTTTTCTGTGTATTCCACGTGTTTAGATTCTGAATGGTCGGGGGAATCAATTGTCAAGTTCTTCCTCTCAGTGAATGTTGTCTCAGAGCTGTCGTTCCTGTAATCCTTGACATCCTCTTTCGTCTCGTCCTTATACAAAATAAAATTTGGCCGGTAAAAGGCCTCGACAGCCAGATGCAGTGAGCTGGCATCCAGGAGCTGATGTGTGAAGTTGCCTTTAGGTTTGTTCTTGGCAGAACCATTGCTCACAAAGTAGTTCAAGATCTTCTCCTGGTAGTGTTGCTGTTCGCTGTAATCGTCCTGGTAACTGTAATCGTGCTTGTTGTTTTTCTCTAACAGAGGGTTCTGAAGTTCTGTCAGGTTTTCCATTGTTTCGACAGGGCAGGGTGGGTGATGGGATTGTGGAAGGGGGCGGGGCAGAGTCAGGGGTCGGCTAGTCAGGTGATCAATTGACCTTAAGCGCTGTTAGGCCGCGAGGATGATCATTGGCCCAAGGCCTACAGAGAAGAAGAAGGAGAGAAAATCATGTTTGGTTATCTTCATTCTGACATTTTAGGATTCAGTAAGCAAATACTTTTTATTTGAAGCTCAGGATATCACTGAATTACCATCACTGAATCCCCCACTATCAACATCCTAGGTGTGATCATTGACCAGGAACTCACCTGGACTCACCACATAAACACAGGGGCTACAAGAGTAGGTTAGAGGCTGGGAATACTGCAGCGAGTAACTCACCTCCTGACTCCTCAAAGCCTGTCCACCATCTACAAGGCACAAGTCAGGAGTGAGATGGAATACTCCCCACCTGCCTGGATGAGTGCAGCCCCAACAACATTCAAGAAGCTTGACACCATCCAAGACAAAGCAGCCCGCTTGATTGGCATCACATCCACAAGCACCCACTCCCTCCACTACCAATGCTCAGTAGCAGCAGTGTGTATTGTCTACAAGATGCACTGCAGAAAATCACCAAAGATCCTCAGACAGCACCTTTCAAACCCACGACAACTTCCATCTAGAAAGACAAGGGCAGCAGATAAATGGGAACATTACCACCTTCACATTCCCCTCCAAGTCACTAACCATCCTGACTAGGAAATATATCGCCGTTCCTTCACTGTTGCTGGGTCAAAATCCTGGAATTCCCTCCTTAATGGCATTGTGGGCCAACCCATAGCAGGTGGACTGTGATGGTTCAAGGAGGCAGCTCACCACCACCTTCACAAGGGCAACCAGGGACAGACAATAAATGCTGGCCAGCCAGCAACGTGCACATCCCACAAATGAATTTGAAAAAATCTAATTGAAGAAGCAATAGTGCTCTGCCATCACAGTGTCTCCACCATTTTTTTGGTGGATTGTCCTCAAACTGCATTCACTTGATTGTTTTAGACCAGTGATGCTACACCAGTCCCCAACGTGTTACGTTTGGCACAATAAGCAATGATTTGCGTTGAAGCCCCTATTCATTCCTACACTATTGTGTCACTATGTGGAGGTGGTGAGAATGGGTCACACACATCTTCACAGTGTAATATGGCAGTGTGTTAGCCCTCCTTGAAAGACAGTGTAAGTGCTTTGTGGGTTAAAGCCCAAGACAGCAAATTGCCTGCTTGTATTCTCAGCTCATGCGTGGTCAGGCAAAACATGAAGAACTGAAGAATGTGACAGGATGCTCTCCCCCTCCCTCTACCATCTGTTACTAGATCACTCCCATTTAACCTGTTTGATTCAAGTTGTTTTAAAGATGGGATTAAGTCAAATGGCTTTTCCTTGATAAAGATCATGGATGACGTATTGACCACAGTGCTCCTTCTGACCTTTGCAATGTCGATTGGATTGAAATTTTGATGCCAGTTACATGCATTTTGACAGACACCTCTGTCTGATGCTGGCGCCATATGGAAAAAAAAAATTACAAGTCTCTGGAAACTGCCGTGGTGAAACTGTCAGAGCTGGAATAACATACCAGTCATTCAGCATCGATGTCACATGCTGACAGCCATCTTGTGTATGGATTAATGATGAAAAGGTTAAATAAATGTTAAATAATGGGAGTGCAGTTGGCCATTTACGCAGTCAGGCTGGTTTCAACATTAGATCAAGGATACACTGTGTCCTAATTTCATTCCCACATTTGTTCCATAACCCTCAAGACCCTTTCCTGCCACAATCGATCAATCTCAATTTCGTAAATTTCCAATTGATCCCCAAAACCCAATAGCTCACTGGGTGGGGCGGGGGGAACAATCTAGATTTCCACTCCTTTTGTATGAGTACTTCTTGACATCTCCACTGAATGATTCAGCTCTAATTTGCCCCTTGTTGCACATTTGTCAGTAATTTCTCTTTATCTGGTGCTTCAGAGCTTTCCACAATTTTGAACACTTCGATAACCTTTAAACCTTCCACGCTCAAAGGATGCAAGTCACAGCCTGAGCTCATTGTTTGACCCTTAATCTCCAGTATCGTTCCGGAAACGAGAGAGATCAATTCTACCCATGACGCAGGAGCCACTAAACGCGAATTTATCTCCCAACATTTGCACCAATTTTGTCAGGTTAAGTAACTTTATGATGGAGAGGACACCTTGGCAAGAATGGAATCGATCTGATTTGGAATAAGCAGTGTCTGTAATCAACTGTAGATTATTTATTGATAAAGCTGAAGTGATAACATCACTGCGGTTACTCCTTGTGTGTGAGAGGAATCAAATGTAATGCACCAACTGCATCAATACAAAGTCGTGCTGACTGCAAGTTCATTAGCAAACCTACATGACCGTGGCAAAATTTGAATTCACGAATTCTGAGTTACTAATCCTGGGCCATGACCTCTAGACTAGTGAATGCACAACATTCCGTCCTTTATCGGCAAGTGTTTTCGGATCCAAATAACAAAACCCTTTTAAAGTATAAAACACATCAGGTAATGCCTCATCTAAGCTTCTTAGAAGGACTGAGACAGACAAATTAGGAACATTGGAGCTAACGCATTATGTCTAGAAGCGGACTGTTTGATTCCTTGAGCCTGCCCTGCCGTTCAATAAGATCATGGCTGATTTGTTTGTCATAGAGTCACACAGCATGGAAACAGACCCTTTGGATCCGACTAATCCATGCCGACCATGCTCCCAAATGAAACTAGTCCCACCTTGCCTGCATTTGGCCACACCCCTCTAAATCTTAAATAAAAACTGAAAGAACTGTGAATGTTGTAAATCAGGAACAAAAGCAGAAATTGCTGGAAAAGCTCAGCAGCTGTGGAGAGAAATTGGAGTTAACATTTTGGGTCCAGCGACCCTTCCTCCACCTGACAAACGGCCTGGCCTCTCATGTGGGTGTGAATGCTTCGACGGTGCTACTTAAAGAGGAAGGGAATTCTCTGAGACATACTTTGTTCTCTAACCAACACCTGAAATGAAACAAAGGATTGGGAGCCCCATTCTAGGTGAAGACCAGTCACCATTGTGAGAGCAGCATTACCACAGAGGTGCACTGGCTGTATCAGACAAGCAGGCAGTCACGTAGCAGGGAGATAGCAGGAACTGCAGATGCTGGAGAATCTGAGATAACAAGGTGTAGAGCTGGATGAACACAGCAGGCGAAGCGGCATCAGAGGAGCAGGAAAGCTGACGTTTCAGGTCTGGACCCTTCTTCTGAAGAAGGGTCTAGGCCCGAAACGTCAGCCTTCCTGCTCCTCTGATGCTGCTTGGCCTGCTGTGTTCATCCAGCTCTACACATAGCAGGGAATCAGCCACGGTAGAATGGGGAAGCAACAGGGTCCTATGAAACGGGGAATGGCACACAGCAGGGTACCAACCCATTGGGAAGTGAGTCCAATGTCAGGCAGATGGGACAGTAAGCACTTGGGCAGCACAGGGGTCATTGTGAGGGAGGGCATAACAGGAGGGAGCAAACACAACTGAAGGCAGCCAGGTTCCAGGATGCCCTGAGACCTTCCAAGCTCCTCAGAACATAATGGTCTTAAGGAATGAAGTTAGGGCACTCCAGTGGCAGCAAAAGTGATGGCTGCTGTGGTCACTACAAGTCTTGCCCATACATGAACTGCCCTGTGCAGGAACCCACCTTTGAGACAGGACATATAGGGGCCCAAATAAGTTGCATTCTGAGATAATACAAGGGAAGCTGAAGATGGAAGATACAATCTCAGTCATTGTGCACAGGTTGGGAAGAACCCAGTCAGAGATTTACCAAATTGACTCCTGTATTGGCAGGACTGACGTATGAGTAGTGATTGAGTTGGTTAGGGTTGAATTCACTGGAGTTTAGAAGAATGAGGGGCATCCCTTAGAAACCTATACATTTCTAACAAGGCAGGAAAGATTCGATGCAGCAAGGATGTTCCTGAAGGTTGGCAAGCCCAGAACCAGGGGTCATAGTTTAAGGCTAAGGGGTAAACCTTTCAGAACTGAGATGAGGAGAAATTTCTTCGCCTAGAGAGTGGTGAGCCTATGGAATTCATTACCACAGAAAGTGGCTGGGGTCAAAACATTGTGTATTTTCAAGAAGAAGGTAGATGTAGCTCATGTAGTTAGAGGGGTCAAGGGGCATGGGGGGAGGTCAGGATGAGGGTATTGAGCTCGAATTAAGTTAATGAATGGTGGAGTAGGGCCAAAGGGTCGAATAGCCTGCTCCTGCTCCTTTATTCTATGTTTCTAGGACACATCCTTTGTCCAGGTGTGGTGGTATTGTTCCTATCTCTGAGCCAGAGGGCCAGGTTTTAAGTCCCACCTGCACCAGAATTATATCATAACATCTCTGAAAAGCTTGATTAAAAGAAAAACCTATGAAGCTAATCTCAGTAAATGAACACATCATTGATTCTCATCAACACTCCTCTGGTTCACTAGTGACCACCCTTACCTGGCCTGAGATATGACAAAAACCACAACGATTGTAATACCTCTTAACTGGCCTTTGCAATAGCTTTGCAAGACACTTAGTTCAAGGGCAATTAGGAATGGGCAGCAAATGCTGGTCTTGCCAGTGAAACTCTTAGTCCATGAAAAGGCAAAGGAAAATTTTAACATGAGATTGGTTTAAAATTGTATCCCAAAGGATCACAGAAGGAATTCTCTACAGTTTCAGGGAACAGCCCATGAATTTTAAAAACTCATTGTTTCTTAAAGACATCCCTCACCTTTTGAAGCCAAGGTTAATATGTTTTGATTGATTAATTGATTAGTGTCACATGTACTGAAAGACAGTGATAGCACAGTGTGGAGCTGGAGAAAAACAGCAGGCCAAGCAGCATCAGAGGAGCAGGGAATTTGATGTTTTGGGTCGGGACCCTTCTTCAGAAAATTGCTCCTCTGATGCTGCCAGGCCTGCTGTGTTCCTCCA